AAGTTGTATACACAGTGCATGTGAAATATATGCGCAGTGTCAGTGTGCACGCGTGTGAAGAGGACATGTTTCTTTCACATGTTTTGGCGCCTGAGAAACCCTGCAGGAGAAGAAAGTAGATTGGTGCTGCGTCTGCGCAAGGCGTGCAAGCAGAAAGTGACAGGCGCGGGCCCTTCTTTTCGTTGCTGCCGGAAGAGTTGGGTCATGGGCAAAAACTTCTCGACCTCCATTGAGGCCAGTCTCGCGCGGCCCACTGAGTGGCCACTCAGTAGGGAGCGCGGCCCACCGCTCAGGGGCCACTCACTTGGCAGTGTTCTTGGTCGTGGCCGTCGACCAACTCATGAAGGCTGCGTTCCAGCCGAAAGCGTCGTAGCCGGGCATTTCTCCTGCGTGGCCCCAGAGCACCTGCTCCGCCAGGACCTCAGCTTGCGTCAGGAACCTCAGCTAGCATGCCCTGCAACGCTTCCATGCGCGAAGCCAGAGCCCCATATTGGGCGGACCGGCCCTTGCGTCTGCTTCCTCTTGCGCAGAGAGGCCTCGCGGCGCCGCCGCTGCCCCCGAGCTTGCGCCCGACTGTCCATGGCCAGCGCTTTGGAGGCCAGGCGGCGGATGGGCCGCGCTGGAAGCTGCGGCAGCGGCTGCGGGCAGAGATTGGAGCCAAAGAACGGCTGCGGGCGCTTGGTTTCAGGTTACATGTCTACTTCTGTCATAGCGCGCGTGCGAAATTATCAACGTAAGGTTCTACAATAAGAATAGTTCAAGAAACCTGGCCCCTTTCTTTTCCAGGCTCCGCAGGTTCTGCAAAATGGCTCAGCCTCCATTGATGCACGCAGGAGCAGCGTGACCAAGGGCAACGCGGGTCCCCCGCTGCGGCCGTTGCGGCTCAGTCTCGCTCATCCTCGTTGCCGGGCTTCTCCACGTCCTCGGCCTCCTCGGCCTCGTCAGCCGTGCCGGGGGCGGCAATGGGCTCCTCGGCCGCAGCCTTGGCTTTGGCTTTGGGCTTGCCTCTCGCTTTGCCGGCCGTTGGGGGCGGCCTTTCTCTTGCGAAGCTGCGTCAGGAGCTCCTTCACGGTCTTCACATGGGCGGCAACCTCCTTGTCGCTGTAGTTGACGCAGAGGTTTGTGGCCGCGGAGTTTCGCCCCAGCATCGTGACTACCGCCTGCGCCGTGGCCAAGCACTCATTGGCCAGGGCAAGGTCGCGCGCCAGCTGCGCGTGCTCCACCCGCTGCTGTGTGGCAGCGCGGCCCACCGCTGCAGAGAGCTGAGGCACCAAGGTGCCATAGGCGTGCATGGCTGCGGCGTCTGACAGCTTCAAGGCTTGCGCGTCGGCCTTGGTCTTTTTCTTCGCGGCTGCAGCGTCCTTGCTGCTTCCGGCCGCCTGGTTCTTTTTCTCCTTCTTGGGCTTTGGCTTTCCCTTGCCCTTGGTATTTTTTTTCGGCTTCCGAGCTGGAGCTCACGAGGTCCATGAAGTTGGCCATGTCTGCAGCGCCAGCGGCAGGCTCAGCGGCCCCACCGCTTGGCGCCTGGTCCGCGGCCCCGCCGCTTGGCACCAGACTGCCGTCCTGCGGTGGCAGCGCGGCAGCAGCCGCTGCAGCGTCGCCACGCGTCTTGCGGCCGCGCCGCACGATTTTCATGGCTTCTTGCGTGGCGCGTCGCTGCAGCTCTCCAACCTCTTTCTCCTTCACTGGCAGGGCGTAAGTGTACTCCTCCAGGGTTTCATCCCACTCACACTCGGCGTTCTTCTCGATGCCGGCGGTCTTGTACCCTTCTCCCGCCCAGACGGACAGAGGCTTCATGATGCTACGCCGCTTCTGCGCGGACCACCGCTCGTAAGTGGCCGTCAGGTAGCGCTCGTACCAGGTGCGGATGCTGCTGAGTTCCAGCTTTCCACCGACCTTGAAGGTGTTTGCGTCCTGGAAGAAGCGCACCTGCTCCGCTTTGTCCAAGTTGCACAAGGCCAGCTCCTCCGGGAAGTCCAGCTTGCACACAAAAGCCGCAAGGCTTCGGCAGTCCTTGCAGTTGTGCGTGTGGGCGGAGCGCTGCGTCATGCTCTTTCGCGGAAACCACCGCTTGCACTTTGCGCACTCCGTCTGCTCCTCGCCGTCATCCTGCTGGAGGGTATTTTGGGTTGAGGTTTTAGGGTTTGCCGATTTAGCGTTTTGAAAATTCGGGCAAAACATGTGAAATATATAGGGTTGAGGCTTTATAGGGTTTTCCGATTTAGCGTTTTGATAATTCGCACAAAACATGCGAAACCAATGCTGCCAGGAGGCCTTCTTCTCGTCCGTCTCGCTTGGCTTGCCGTCCTCTTTTGGGAGACACAAGCGATTATTGCTCTCGCCAAGTTTAAGGGCTCTTACACGCGACCCATCAAGAAAATGTAGAGATTTGCCGAAAAGCACATGAGCAATGTTGTTGCTCCTCCTGCTGCTCCACTTCTGGGATCACCTCTTCGGCCTCCGGCAAGGTCTCCGCATCTGCCATGGCTGGCGCAGAGGGCAAGCTCAAAACTGGAAGCTGCTCTGGCACTAGGAAAAATGCGCGTGGTATACGCCTGCTCTCATGTTCAGTTGCTTCTGCCCGTGCTTTTTCGTTTTGCTCTTAGGCGCGCCGTGCTCCCGTAAAAACGCTGTGGCTCTCGGCCGCCGCAGTGGGCAGCACTTACTTAGAGCCCAAAAGCTGCAGGAACAGCTTCTGGAAGAAACCAACTGGGATGGGCGGCCAGGGCTCGTAGGCAGTAGAAGATGCTGGCGAGATACTGGGAGGGTTTAGGGTTTAATGTTTAGGGTTTAGGGCTGCCCAGAGCGCCACTTACAGGTCCAGTGCTTCTGGGGTACTGGGAGGGTTTAGGGTTTAATGTTTAGGGTTCAGGGCTGCCCAGAGCGCCACTTACAGGTCCAGTGCTTCTGGGGTACTGGGAGGGTTTAGGGTTTAATGTTTAGGAGTTAGGGCTGCCCAGAGCGCCACTTACAGGTCCAGTGCTTCTGGGGTACTGGGAGGGTTTAGGGTTTAATGTTTAGGGTTTAGGACTGCCCAGAGCGCCACTTACAGGTCCAGTGCTTCTGGGGTACTGGGAGGGTTTAGGATTTAATGTTTAGGGTTTAGGGCTGCCCAGAGCGCCACTTACAGGTCCAGTGCTTCTGGGGTACTGGGAGAGCATGAGGTCATTTGGACGTGAAACTATGCACTTTGGGGCCCGGATTTGGCGGCAGCGCAGGGTAAGCGCACGGCAGCGCAGAACTGCAAACTGCCTGCCCGGGCCGGCCGGCCAGAGGGCAGCGCCTTTTAAACTATACTACTGGGGCCCGGACTCGGGCGGCAGCGCAGGGCAGCGCAGAACATTAAACCCTATAAACCCTAAACATCAAGCAGAACGCGGACCACCGCTGCAGCAAGACGCGCGTGAGGAGCAGAAGCTACACTGGAAAACGTGGACCACCGCTGCTGCAGCAGGATTGTCTAAGCATGAAACTTGGTTGCCCTAACGCGGACCACCGCTGCTGCAACAGGATTGTCCAAGCATGAAACTTGCTTGCCCTAAACTGCGTAAGCAGAAGCCGCACTTTTTTCTCGCGAGCGTGGACGCTGCAGACAGTGAGTCAGTGCCACTAGCTGGTGTCGCGGACCACCGCTGCAGACTACGAGCTACGGCGCTGCCGCGGACCACCGCTGCGGACTACGACCCGGTTGCTGTTGTTGGTTTTTGGGGGTGTCGTGCACTAACAGTCCTATATATATATGATAGAGATACC